ACTAAAGCTCTCTGGGCTTCCTTTTCTTTATTTGTGCATAAAAAAGGGAGCATAGGGCAAATTAAATGAAAACTATATGAGTTTTCATAGAATCTGGCTGAAACTAGGCAGCCAGTGGCTTCCCAGATGGCTTAGAGGTAAAGAATCTGCCTGCCAATGCAGGTTCCATCCCTGGGTAGGAAAGAGCCCCTGGAGAAGGAAATGGCAACCCACTCCAGTATTCTCGCCTGGAAAATTCCATGGACAGAGGAGCCTGGGGGGCTACAGTCCACGGGGTCGCAAAGAATCGGACATGACTAAGCACGCACACACTCATAGGCAGTTAGTAACAGCTTTTTCTTTCTCTTATCTCTAGGACTGTTCTCTATGATCATTTAAAAGACATTAACCCAGTTAGATACAAGGAAATTGAGAAATAAAGATCAAGAATTTTAAAATAAGGACAATGAGAAACACAATCCCCATCAAAAATCTACAAGATTTCTGACTTTTTTTGATCATCAGAGGCCAACTTTCTAAATTAAGAACCATGATGTTTGAACCAGTAACAGAATCTGAAAGAAGTAATAGGACAGCTAACTTGCCATCACATCTGTTCTTTCAAAGAGCATCTAAGTGAAAATGTAACAAAGATATAGGACTCTTCATTTCCAGAATTCACAAACTGTTTTGCTTCAAGAAGAAGGGCATTTGACACAAGCAATATAATAAAAAATAGGGAGAAGAAAGCAGTGTTTTAATTAGCTTAAATGTAATTGACAAGGAGCCATTTAAAAGAATATCCTTTTACCAGGTGCAGATTTTAGGGATGCTAACTAAAGCAAAAAACTACTACTGCTACTAATTTATGTTGCTTTTTTTTTTCCCCACCCTCTGAGAGTTATCATCAAGATCAGACAGGGTAGAGAGTTCAGATACTGTGTTAGTTAAAAAATAATGTGCATTTACCAACTCTGCAAAAACTGACCCTGAAAAAAACAAGTCCATCTCTTTAACATCTTCATTTTCTTTCCTCACCCTCTGCTCTACCCTTTCCCACTTCACTCTTACTGAAAGTATCATGACTAGATCTTTTTCTTTCAGTTTAAGGCTTGTTCCTGGTTGAATAGAAATTCTCTGAGGGAGGCCCTCTTTCAGATATTGGTATGCATTTACACTTTAGTTTGAAGGAAGTTGATTATTCTACTAGCATCACCAAATGAGGAGTATGAAGATTTAGAACTATAAAGAGGAAAAAGGAGTACAGAAATTAGAGGCTCTGGATAAGAGAGCCAAATTTTACCTATTTAAAAAATAGTTTTGCTGAGGGTTAGAGTTAATTATAATAATTTGCTCTAATCATGTGCCTGTACTTCTCTTTTTCCAAACATTTATTTCATAATTATGTTTGTCAAGTAGCTAAGGGTAATGACCCGATTACAGCATCAGAGGGAGAAAAAAAAAAAAAACCCAGACCAAAGCAAAACAGATGTTCTATGAATTGCTGGAAGCTAGCTTTGTCACAATTACTGGATACCTGTCTCTGGCTTGGACAGTGCCTCCACAACTGAAATACAGGAAGGGCCTCTCTATGGCCAGCTCTTCCCGCTTATCTGAATTCACTGATGCTGAGCTGATAAATGAGAAGCAAATGAACCAATGAAAATAGCTGAAATGAACAGTTCAAGCACAGTTCAGGAGCTCTCTATAAAAATCTATTTGATGCAAGTGGACTCAGGTTGCTGCTCAAGCCACCAAGCAGAGTTCTTTTTTAAAGACAAGAATAGCTAAACATATTGGGGTGAGGAGAGATGCAACTTTGGCTAACGCCTACATTTCAAATCAAAGGAAAAATATTAAACTGAAGACTTAGAGCATTCATTAAAAAAACCAGTAACATGTATGATACCAAATATTTTACAACAGCATTTAATAGCATATTGAGATTTATGCTATGTAAATGTAGTGTCAAAACGTGAGCCACCAAATCAAAAATTCAAACTTGTTGATGACTACAGAGGCAAGGCTATGAACCTGAATGTGAAAGGAGACAATGAAGAAAGAAGGTTGGAGACAGTCATCTTGTGGGTTAGCATCTTGTTTGAAGGACAAGTTTAATCCCTCTCTGCTTATCAGTGTTTCCTAGAATCTTCCTATCTCATCTTCCCCCTTTCTTCCTTGACACCACACTGGTGGGCCAATGAGGTAAGAACTCTTCCTAAACCATGGCTTAATTAGAGAGACAAATGTGCTTTGGTTGCCTAGGGCTTTTAAAATGTGCTACCTCTAGTGCACATAAACCCTTGATTTTATCACCTCCCTACCTACAGACATCATTCTCACCTAACTCTATGGAAAGTTCTGAAAGTGCCAGAAATAGATGCACAAATATCTTTTGAAATCCTCTCGTTTGGTACATGCCAAAACACTGTTCTGTCCTCTTATGATGGGATACATTATTGTACTGAGCACAGTATACTGGAATTTTGCTTGTTTGTTCGTTGTCCAGCTTTTGTGTTAATAGATGGCATCATGATCCAAAGGCAAACACGAAAAAGAGGAAAGAGAAATTAATAGTGAAACAGATACGCACGAAAAATGAAAGAGAAATTAAAGAGAAGAACAGAAACACATGTCCACTGAAAGTTAACTCTGGGTAAACCTAAGGACAGTTTTTTTTTTTTTAATTCTCTAACAAGGACTATACACTTATTTGAGCCTAAAATTTTCCTCAACATGTTGTTAAAAGTTTTGAAATGTACCTACATTTAAGAGGTCTCTGTAGAACATTCTTTTCACTTCACCTCACAGTATCTTATCACTTCTCAGTTGTTACACACACATACTCCTTCTTGAATGATGCTTAATTAACTATTGATGGGTTCTGGCATTCTAGGGCTTCCCAAGTGACAGCTCAGTATTCTTTACTAATCGTTTAATGAAAACACTTACATGAATAATGAATCTGGCATTTCCCTAGATACACATGCAACTTTTGTAATAGTAATAAAGGCAGGCATATGCACAGTAGGAACAAACTATTGTGGCTTCCAAACGTTTTCACAAAGCAGATCAGAGAAGTTATGTTGAAAATGAAGCTCCAATTCCTGAGACTGCTGTTAAAAGTTTCATATTAAAATATACTATTATCAGCACATAATACTAGAAGCATAAAAAGTGATTATATTTGAGAAGCTAGTACTTATTATTTGCTCTATCAGCTCCAAATGGAACAAGCATAACTTAGATTTTAGTAATCACACTGCCAAACCCTAACATCTGAAATAAAAGAAACACACATATCCATAACATACGTACACACAAATTATGTATATATTATATGGCACAGAAAAACAAGTGTGACTAAAATGTCTGTGAAATTTATGATTCATCTCAGAATTGAACGTTTACAACAGTTTAATCTTTCAGGTGAGAAAATGGAATCCCTGACCTTAAGATTTTGCTCCCACAAAACCACAACTGCTATGCTGATCACCACACAGAGAAACTAAGTTACTACAACCAGTTATTTGAACAATGGGAGAATAAAGTGTCTTTATACATGTTCAAGTGGAAGAATACGATTGTTAACAGACATTACAGGGCACTCATAGAAAAAGACCTGTTCTGTGAGTCAGAAGTTCTAACCCTTGTCTCATCACCACTTATAATATGACCTTGGACAAGTCACTGAGCTTCTCTGATCCTCAGTGCCTTCAACAGTGATATTAGCATAATGACATTTGCAATATTTATATTTTCTAGTTGTCACGTACTTATACTACACACTATCACTATTATTGTAACAACTATTTATCATTAGTAATATTACTAATTTTACCCTTCCTTGAGGCTCTCATCTGTCAAAATTTTTCAGTTCAATTTTCATGCCATGTAACCATATTACACCCTCACAGTTGTCCTGTAAGGTAAGCAGTCTTTCTTATTACAGATGAAGAAACATCTCAGAGTGGCTAACTTGCCAGACATCACATGGCTACTAAGAGCTTGAATGTAAATTTGAATCCAAATCTAACTGCAAATTTCATTAGATTCGCAATATATTGTTTCCTCAAATATATCATATATGTTCGTGTGGATACACATATAATGTAAATATATAATACCCAGTGCCTATATAACATGGAGGTATATTATTCATTTTATACACACACACAAATACCCACATATAGGCTCTAAACTCTAAAATGTTCCACTAATTTTTTTTTTAATTTCAAGACCTAATTCATGAAATAGAGTAGCTATTTAGTCAATACTTGGGGAAAAAAGAACTAATACATGGGAGGGGACCAAGATTATTTTAAGTAAAGTGTTAATGAACTTTTGTGTCAGCATATTGTCATAGTGGCTTAATTTAAATCCTCCTTTAAGGTTATGTTATTAAAAATTATGCCAGAGACAAAATATACATGGACTAGTCATGGGTGCAATTCTAGACACAGAATTGAGAATGACGAAAAAGCAGCTATATTCAATAAATGAGGGCTAAAATCTAACCCTGTGTTACAGTTAAAGGAGCAAGAAAGAGCCCTTCAAAAATAACATATGGTTTGAGTTTTTCAAAGAGGTAACATATTATCTTCAAATTTTTAAATTTCAAAAAAATCTATCCTATATTTTATCCTATCAACACAAGATAATAATGCTTGTCGGGTTTTATTTCTCTTGACTGTTCTATATGAAAATGATAAAGATGAAAATTAGATAGTGACATTCAAAAAAGAATGTAATATATTGTATATTTCTTTTCAGAGTTGGGAAGGTATGGGAAGTATTAAAAAAGAAGTCTCATTTCTATTCAAACGCAAATATTTAACTACATAAAACACTCCATGATTCCCCTGATCTCCTCCCAAAGAACTCAGGCTGAATGGAAAGATGCTGACACATGTACCCAGTCAGAGCTAGAATGACAGGTCTGGGGAAGGAGATGCTGCTGTTTCCATTATCCATTGAACACCTTGGCAATTCTTATTTCATCCTGAGAAGGTGATACTTACTCTTGTACTGCTCTGGCTATGGAAAGGGCCGTAGATCCAGTTTCATTAACGCTATCTAAGGTCACATTTGGCAGGTCATCATCATCACTGTCACTTTTACTTTGTCTGGGAGATAGGCCTCGGGGGTCCATTTGTGCTGGGAAAAAAAGGCATATATAATGAATTAAAATTAGTGTGCAGAAAGTTAACCTTGTCCTGGACCAACATCAAGCACGGAATGTCTCTTCTGTGTATATCACACACATGGCATCCTCTAGAAATCCCAGGAATTAGTGAAAGCGACATATTTTATGGACTGAGCACTCACTGACTCTTTTCCCTTGTTCATCTGATTTATAAAACCGCCATCAGCTCTCGGGAGTTTCAGGGGATGATTACAGAATAGAACGTATAAAATCCACGATATTACCAACTTCTGAGTGGTCAGAAGATGATTAGGTAGCTCGTGAGTTATTGTTCTACCTTCTGGCTTCTTCTTGCTTCTGCTGCCAGAGTTCTGGCCATTTTGTTGCATACTAACACTGCCTGGAAGGTGGAGAGCAGGAGGGAGAGGATTTGTTTGCTTATAGCTCTCATCAGAAGCTTAGAGAAGAACAAGATTTATAAGAATAATATCTAGGTGTAGGTATTTTTCATAGCACAGTGAATCCTTGTCTCATAGTTCATTGTTGCTCTAAGTGGAGATCTGAGAGCAGGAAAATAACAGAACTAGCAGCCTGTCATTTTAACTGTATTTACATGTGTTAGACAGTGCCCTTCATCATTATCCTGATCTCATTTTCCAAAATAGCATTTTCCAGGTAAGATTCTCCTTCACTGCATGCTTGCTGAGGCAAGAAATAGCCCAATGTTCTGACCCTTGTTGATAGGGACCACCAGATCCTGTCAAATGAGAGGGTTACCATCAACATTTAATATATTAATGTATATTTTTTCAAAACTGGTTTCACTTCCACCTCCTTCTCTTTAAGAACAGCTTTAGCAACCACCAACTAGGAATTCCATCAGCCCTCACTTCAAGCACCAAAGAAGCACACCTTCTAAATGGAAAACACTGTGCTAGCTACATAATTGCATTGCTAAAATATATGGTTTCAACTCTCAGCCAGCTCCAACCAGATTCCTGCTCTTCAAACATGCCTACATAAAACTTCTAAAACCACTACTAGTTGCAAGGCAAAAATGAACTTAAAATCATGGTTACAATGACATTTGGCTACACTTACAGTTTCATTTTTTTCCTTTTTTTTTTGTTTGTTTTTTTTGTTATTGTGCATCATACATCAGGTAGAGTCGCAGGGAAATGCTGATTTTTCCCATTTTCTTGACCCACACAAGATAATTTCTTATGATTTTACCTAATTCTGACTATATGAATAGAAAAACTGTATCTAGAGAGTTTTGACGATTTCTAACTAAAGTTGGTTAGGAAGGTCCTAGTATCTGTTGAAATTTAAGGTATGAGTATACTTGACATACATTCTGCAAGTATAAACATACCAAAATGTACTTTGAATAATGGAATAGTTTAGTAAATGTTGGCTAAATTAAAGAGAAAATAAAACTAATCTAAAGTAGTGGTCCTTTGCTGAGGACTTATCTGCTTCCCAAGTGACATCTGACAATGTCTAGAGACACAGTGATTCATCACAACTTGAAGGAAGGGAGATGCTACTGGTACCCAATAGGCAGATGCAAAGGATACTGTTAGATGTAATACAGTATGCAGGACAGTCATGGCCCCAGGACAAAGAGCCAGTCTAAAATATCAATAGCACCAGGCTGAGAAACTTTGATCTAGATGTTTAAGTTTGGACAGAGAGGTATCACATCTTATAACTTTTAAATGCATAACTATGTCCTAGTTTCAAAGTCTCTAGCAAAGAAATCAAATCATACATTGGATTATCCATCTTTTCTGGGTCTATCCTCAAATAAAACAATTTACTATCATGTGACTCATCACTGGTCACTTCCACCAATACAGCCCTCACTTTCTCGAACACCAGGAATTATGCAATGATGCACATTAAATTCTTGAGTGCTATCTTCATACTACATGGTGAGACAAAGACTGTTTCTTTTCCATCTGATCTCTAGAGAAGAGTTCCTAGCAGAGAGGGCTGGAGAAACTCTTTGTAGAGGAAAGTAACCAATTTCACAACCACGTAATAACATACAGCTACTTAGGCATTCGGTCATTCCAAAGGCACTGAAGGCATTAGATCATTTAAGATTTATTTTGGCTCCAGGCAATAGAAACTGCCTCAGGCTGCTTTATATTAAATGAATGCACATGCATGCTAAGTCCCTTCAGTCGTGTCCAATTCTTTGAGAATCTATGGACTGTAATCCACCGGGCTCCTCTGAATATGGGCTTTTCCCAGGCAAGAATACTACAGTGAGTTGCCATGCCCTCCTCCGGGGGAATCTTTCTGACCCAGGGATTGAACCTCTGTCTCTTAAGTCTCCCACATTGGCAGGTGGATTCTTTACCACCATGCCACCTGGGAAGCCCCTGGAATGATTCTCAGAAGCTCACAGAAAGGAAGTACAGATGAACAGCCAGAACTCAAGTAGCCCAAGACACAGGGATGATGCAGACCAACCAGAAATTCACAGATAAGTCTCCTGTTGTGCAATCCCACTACAAAATGATTCCTTTAACACTCGTTCATAACTGCTAAACTGAGTCAAGAAATTTAGTATCAGACTCATTGTGTGGTCTTACATAATACCTGTAAACATCAACAATTTAAGATTTAAAGTTCTTGAAACACCATGCACTAAGGACTCCTTTGCCAAGAGATCAAATGAACAAATAGCCAAAGAAAAGAGGATATTTTTGGTGGTCCCATTTTCATCAAGACAAACAGAGATCACTTGGGAAGTGGTATCGCTCAAGGAAGAGACAGGCACTTAAACAGCAACCAATTTGGCTGGGAAAGTTAGTCTCACTGCGAGACAGATTCCAAATAACTGGTGTGAGAGCTGATCATCTAAATTATGCTATGTTTATATCTTTAATGAAAGCTTAAAATATGTTAAATATAATGCCTTTTCTGATGTACTTTTCAGGAACATTATAATTGAGGATCTCTTTCCAATATTTTCAATAAATATTATGAAATACATCTGCTGCCATCATGCTGGGAAACTCTTCTTACCCATACCTTCAGCCAAGTTGAGGAAGTAATTAGAAAAGCTTCTTAAAATCTGCATTGCTGATTAGGTCAGATGATTAGCTAATCTACATAGTTGCATAATTCCACTCTATTTTTATTAAATGTGGGGTAGGGGTATATCTATCCTCCCTAACCTCCAATAGTCTTTGAGTTTCTCAGCTCATTTAGGGAACACTAATTCTTTGAGGTGCCCACAGACAGAAAATGGAAAAGTTACCAGGGCATTAGAACCAAAAACATACCTCTCTCTCTGAGTAAGATAGCACCAAGTGAAAGCATTGAAAAGAATGCAATAAGCATCCGAAAAGAATCTACATTTCAGATTTTGTTCCTCTTAAACGAAAAAGGGATCAGACAGCAGTAGATGGTCTAACTCATTGCTGAACAAAGTATCATCCCTGAGAGAGAGGTACTGGGAACATAGTGTGAAATTCACTCCATGTCATGAAATCCTGGGAGGATAGCTGCAGAAATCCAACACCTGAACTTGAACCTATTTACTCTTTCAACCTATTTAGTCCTTCAAACACCCACCTGTAATCACTGTCACTATGAAGATCACTCCAATGAATCTTGTCTCCTTGAGTTCAGGCCCTTGTGTGACTGCTTCCCCCAGCAACTGTGGACTTGGCTAGATGACGTGAAGTCATTCTAGATTGAGTGGACACATTCCAGCCACTAGATGACCGCATTCACAGGAGTGACTAGCACGAAAACTGCCCAGCTAAACCCATTTCAAATGTTTGCCTTACAAAACTGTGAGTAAATAAAAAGAATGCTATCCAGTCTTGGCCTGGAGAATTTCATGGACTGTATAGTCCATGGGGTAGCAAACAGTCAGATACAACTGAGCGACTTTCACGTGCCAGTCTAGTAAATTGGGGGTTGGTTTGTCACAGCACGCCAGGCTTCCCTGTCCTTCACCATCTCCCAGAGTTTGCTTAAACTCACGTCCATCAAGTCAATGATATCATCCAACTATCTCATCCTCTGTCACCCACTTCTCTTCCTGCCTTCAATCTTTCCCAGCATCAGTCTTTCCCAATGAGTTTTCATATCAGGTCTTCACATCAGATGGCCAAAGTATTGGAGCTTCAGCTTCAGCATCAGTCCTTCCAATAAATATTCAGGGTTGATTTCCTTAAAACTGACTGGTTTGATGTCCCTGCAGGTCTTCACATCAGGTGGCCAAAGTACTGGAGCTTCAGCTTCAGCATCAGTCCTTCCAATGAATATTCAGGGTTGATTTCCTTTAGGATTGACTGGTTTGATGTCCCTGCAGTCCAAGGGACTCTCAAGAGTCTTCTCCAGCACCACAGTTGTAAAGTATCAACTCTGGCGCTCAGCCTTCTTTATGGTACAACTCTCACATCCATATATGACTACTGTTAAAACCGTAGCTTTTACTAAATGGACCTTTGGATATGGCTGCCTATAGTCAATTAAAACTTAGGACTTTATTACATACGGGGCTATGGAACACACTTTTGATAATACATTTATACAACTGATATGCTGACATCATTTGGCTTCAGTTGCTCAAATATAAGCTTGACTTTTCTAGCATATCAAGATAGATGATGAGAGAAAAATTCATAAGTAAATAAAGCTTGACTCAGAGGACAGTCAACTCCAGGATCAGAACTGGCTCTTCTGGCTCTCACTCTACTTACTGATGCTTCGACAATGCTCTGTTGTCTTACTTTTAAAAATTTTTGTTACTGCTAATGGGGGCAGGAGGAGAAGGGGACAACAGAGGATGAGATGGCTGGAGGCATCACCAACTCGATGGGCATGAGTTTGAATAAACTCCAGGAGTTGGTGATGGACAGGGAGGCCTGGCGTGCTGCGATTCATGGGGTTGCAAAGAGTCGGACACGACTGAGCGACTGAACTGAACTGAACTGAATGAGACTACCTCTCTACATAGTAGCAAGTGTCATTGTCTATG